CGGTTATGCCACCCTTATCAGAAATCAAATGGCATAGATATATAATTTACTTATGGGATATTAATTCTCTTCCTTGTTATTTATATGTCTATTCCTCTGCTACAATTGCACAATTTTGATTACTTTAGCATCATATGTACCTTTAAAATGGGAAGGTATTAGCCTCCTATGTTTTCTTGTTCAACATTATTTTGCACATTCAGGATTCTTACTACATTTAAGTTTTTATCAATATTTAATATTGCTGTAAAACATTATTGGAATTCAATGGAAAATATGTACATTTCTTAGGTTGTTCTTTTCATTTTAACAACATTGAGTCTTCCCATCCCTGATCATAGACTACATTTCTTTATTCGGTGTTTTCAATTTTTAAAAAATATTTTGTAATTTACAGTGAACATGTCTTGAATTTCATGGGTTAACCTTATTCCCTAGTAGTTTAGAATCTAAGCTATTGTTCTTACCAAGCTACAGCAGGATTTCCTACGCCAAGTTTTGTTTCATAGGACAAATTAGCTCTTCAGTTTAGTCACATTGGTCTCAACCTTTCTGTACCTCTGCCATGCTCCATTTAAACTTCTTTCTTTTCTTTTTACTTACATCCCCTCTCACAGCCTCTCAAAGTCCTCTCTTCCTTTCTTTTGTGATACACAAATAGTATCAACATAATATATATTTTTTGTCTTTTTTTCTCTTTCATCTGGTATTGCTGTTACTACCCACTAAGGGGTTTGTCTGTATGTAAGTAATAGCAAAAGACTAAAAGGAATTCGTTTATCTCTGTAGTTCCTTCCCCGGGCACATTAGACTCCCTCATGCCAAGGACTGCTGCAGACAGTGAGCTAAATACGGATTCCGGCTTGGTCATAAATCAGGCCCCAGAGCAGACAAAGCTCTCTTTGTTTCTTCAGTCAGGAAAAAGAATGGAAGTGTCAGGAGATGGGGGATACCTCAAGGAGTGTAGAAACCTTTGGTCCTGTACACTGACACTGTACACTGTACACTGTACACCATGTTTCCTACTTACTGATGGAATTTGTTGTCAAAATTCTTTTATTAGTATGATGTAGGCATCATCACTGATCACTAATTATAGTTTCACACCTCTGTCCCTTAAAAATATATGAAACCATTGATTTTAGATTTGCTCGGGTCATTACTTTTACCAGAGGGTTTACTTTTGTCATTTTTATTTGATAATAAAGTACTTTATAAATTTGTGACATACATTGCAATGTTTTGATGTAGTTTTATATTACAGAAAGATTCTAATGAACATAAACATCAGGTCAGCAACCATCATATCCTTGTGGTGAGAACGTTAAAAATATGGGTTTTGTAAAAACGCAAATTAGTAGTATCCAATACATCCTTGTTCACTATGAAGTGTATCACTAAATCTTATTCTTCCAAAGAATGTCTGATTTTTAATGAATATGGGAAGGAGGAGCAGACTAGGTCCTTGCTCTATACAAATGAGGGCCCAGAGCGAGTTGTTCTGATTCCCATACCAGGCATATTCTCATCTCAGGTGGCTTCTCACTCAGGCACCTAATGCTATACTGTGCCCTCCCACAGTTCAACCTCCCTGAACTCCATGGTTGGCAGGAAATAAATTTTGTATAAATCTCCCACTCCAAACTCTGCTCCAATAAATGGTCCTGTGCCTGGATCCCACGGCTCAGAGAGGGCCACTTGGTGTTTGATGACTCTGCTCCTTGGGCCCAGAACATGGTCAGCTCACAATGAGCATTACAGCCGCATTGGACCTGCCTGGATTTGGCACCACACCAAGCTGCAGGCTCAGATATGGGACTATGCATTCGTGAAATCCAGGATCTGGTGCAGGATGCACAAGGCCCAGCTGACCATCTCTCAACTGATTCTGTGACCCTCTGCCATCAGGCTGTTTCCCTCAGTGCTATCACACCAGATCTATCCATAGGTTCCCAAGGACGTCCACAAGGTGCTGAATCCTTCCAAATTAACATGGATCCTTTTCCTTCCTGATGTTGTGAAATACTCTCTCCTCTGACATCTGTTGTGAAACCAATTATTTCATCGATAACTCATTTATTACTGAGGGAAGATGAAAAAGGGTGATTGCATTTGGCCAGTGGTGGGGATCACCAGAAGGAAAAGGGAAAAGAGATAGGATGGTAAAGCATTTTGAAAGTAATAAGGTATGTGAGTATATATATATATAATATATATATATATATTATATATATATCCAATCTTCCAAAAGAGATGTAAATTTTATGTATTGCAAATGTGTACCAATAATAAAAATGGTGAAATGTGTTAGGTGATATCTGTACTTTTAAGTTTTTAATGGAAACTGCTCTGCCCGATGAGAAATGCATTGAGTAGAGATAGTAAAAGTATTTAGAGTTTACTGAAGAAAGGATCCATGATTTAGTCATTAGCATTTGTACCTAGATATGTATGTGATTCTACCTAACAAGATGAGAGCCAGGCATGGGCCCACGCCTGTAATCCCAGCACTCCGGAGGCTGAGGAAGGAGGATCGCCATGAGTTCAAGGCCTGCCTGAGCTACATAGGCTACCTTGTCTCAAAAAAAAGTTTACAGAGGAAAAAAAAAAGGATATAATAAATTACTTAATTCAAAGACACCAAAAGGACAAAAAGTAACATTAATCACTTAAATGACAGAGTCAGGAAAGTAAGATGATTGAAATAATTTCAAATTTACCAGTAATCCCATAAAATGCTAATGCATGAAATAATAATTACTCTTCCTTGGCTGTGTCAGATATTATAGAGAGGTGATAAAAGTAAAATTTTAAAGTCTCATTTTTATTACATTAACCAATTATGAAGAAAAATTTACACAAAAACTGTCATTTCTACTTTTGTAAAATGTATTTAAAGCTACTGAAGTAGTATGGTAGAGCAGAAGTGTATTTAAGCCATGGAATTAGCCAGGCTGGTGGCGTATGCTATAATCACCACACTCTGGGAGGCTCCAGCAGGGAGAGAAAAATTTCAAGCCTAGTCGGGGGATTGAGGGACTTAGGAAAACACTGTCTCAAATTTAACAAATTAAAATCAAAATTGTATATAGCAACTGGGGGTTTAACACAAAGACCTTGGGTCCCATCCCAGGCACCACAAAAAAATTAAATGTCGGGCCGGGGACTTAGCTCAGTGGTTTTTGCCACCTGCTGCGCAAGCACAAGGACCCGAGTTCGATCCCCAGGACCAAAAAAAATTTAAAAAACAAAAATAAATAAATGTAAAATATTCTGATATTAGTGATACATTGATGAGTTACTGGATATAAGTAGCTTAATTGAATCTCTATACAAGATATCTCATAATGACAAAATCAGATTGAATCATACAAATACACACAATTGTTATTTGTCAATAAAAAACCTTAAATACTCCTGTAAAATATAATGTGGATTTTAACTGCAAATGTAAATTCTCCCTACACAAACTGAATTAAAAATTCATTCATGTAGAGTTTATTTTTTTGGTTTTTGGGTTTTGGACTTGGGGGGTTTGCTGTTGTTGGTGAGTTTTGTTTTGTTTTTGAGACAGGTTCTTGCTGTGAAGTTGAGGCTAGACTTGACTTACAATTTAGCCCAGGCTGGCCTCCGAATCACAGGACTCTCTGGCCTCAGCCTTGCAAGTGCTGGATTAAAGCACGTGCCACCAAACCTGGCCTGGTTTTCGGGTTTTTGAGACAGGGTCTGGCTGTGTAATTCACACTGGCCCTGAACTCACTCTATACTCCAGGTTGACCTCAAATTAGCAGCGATCCTCCTGCCTCAGCCTCTCAAGGGCTGGGATTAGAGGCGTGCACCACCAGCCTGGCTCACACAGTTCTGACAGTGTCAATAACTCCACCTACTTTGTTCTTTCTCCCTCGGGATATGAGAAAGGCTGGGTCCTTTCTCTGCAATCCACAGAGCAGATAATCCCAGATGAGGAGCTCTGCAGCCTGGATTATGGGTGGGTGGACCAGAACCCACCAGGGGTTATCTCTGTCTGCCCAAATAAAAGGGGGTGTAGATGTGGAGCTGCACTTTAGAGCAAGCCTCAGCCTGTCTGCCTCTCAGGAGGGGAGCCAGCAAGACAGAGCACTGACCATGGGGGACCCAGAGATGAACCCAGCTCCAAGCCAGCCTTCCCTGGTGAGTGTGGAGACTGTAGGGATGGCAGGCGGGTGCTTGGGGCACTTTCTCCTTCAGTTCGTGCTATCAGAGGTGGGTGTGGAGGCTGGAGCCCGAGGATTGCAAGTTGGAGCCCAGCCTGAGAAAATTACCAAATAAGTGAGACTTTCTGTTACATTAAAAATAAAAGTTTACAAACAGCTAAAAATGTACTATGAAGGAAAGATACTGGGTTCAATCTCTAGTACTGAAAGACAAAAAGCAAAAATGAAAATCCACTTTCAATAGCACAGGTTCACTCTTAAATGGGGTGTTAGAATATCTCTCAGACTTGTCTTGGAGGTTTCCTAAATGTTGGTGTCTATTGAGTGAAATTAAAGATGCAGCCATGCTTCACTCAATAACGGTTTTATCCCGAGAAAAGCACTGTGTGCTGACGTTGTCACTGTGTGGACACCGTAGCCTGTGCTTACACACGCTCAGGGCTCCCAGGTCAGTCACTGCATGTGACACTTGTGATGCTGGTGTCTCAGGTCCAGGTGGGCTGGGGCAGCAGCCTGTGACTGCAGTGACAGGGAAGAGAAGCGACTCACATCCTCGGAGGAGGATGCAGGGACAGGGTCTGAAACCGGGGACCCAAGCCCAGACCTCCTTGGGTTCCAGACATCTGAGTTGTAACAACCTTCCCGGGTGAGTGTGATGCACTGTGATTTCAGACTCCCTTCTCCAGGGAGAGGGGAGGGGGGACACCAGGAGCTGAGGAAATTCTCCAGAGCTGAGAGCAGTCTTCAACCCCACTTTGTTGAGATTTCGCATTTTATACTGTCTCCAAGGGGAAACTCAAAAGAAGCATGATAGCCCCACATTTACAGAGGAAGCCACACGTCCGGGGCCTCAAAGCCAAGCGCAGAGCTGCTGGGGGCTGTGTCCTCCCCGTGCGACTGACCAGCTGCATCTTCCCCAGGCCCGTGACGCTCATCACCGCCCACCCTGGCAATGAGGTCAGGTGCGGGCCCCACGAGGAGAAGCTGGAGAAGCCCCAGCAGCTGTGTTCAAGCTGGAGGCTGCAGGCACTCAAGCACCAAGGCAGCGAAGAAGAAGGTTTAAGCCAATTGGATTTCACAAACGCCTTCCCAGCCATGACTTCAGGAAGCCGAGGAGGATCCTGGGGCCAGGCTGCTGCTGAGAGCTCGCAGCCCGCCCCTGGCCTGTCTCCCTTCTGGAAAGAGATGATCCCGGAAGCTTTTCACCTTGTCCCTCCCCCTTCCAGCCAGCAGGTCACTTCCGCAGACATCCAGAGACAGGCTCGGAAAGTGAAGAGGGCCAGGGAGAGACTGGCCGAGGCCTTGAGGGCAGACAGCCTGGCCAGGGAGGCAGAGAGGCTGAGCAGCCAGGAGGAAAGGGCTGAAAACCAGGTGGAAACAGGAGCAGGAGCTGCTGGAGACTCGGAAATGTGAGGCCGCTGGGGAGGGCTCCCCATGAGGGACTTTGTGATTCCCCCTGAGTCTTTAACACCAATCCTGCCCTCACGGATGATCTTGTAACAGCCAAACTGTTCTTTATTAAACTCTTTAATAAACAAAAGTGTGAAGTGTTGATGGTTTGTGACATTTTCAAGAGCAGAAACATGTTTTACTCTGTCGCTCTTGCTGTTTTCCAAGTTAACACCTCCTCATTCACATTTTGGAGCTGTGAACCCCAGGACCTCAGAATGTAACTGCATTTGGAAGTTTCACAATTTTTTGTGAAAGTGGAGATGAAACCCAGACCCTCTGCACCAACGTACATCCCCAGACCATTTTATCATTTTTTTTTTAATTATGGGACTGTGTCTTGCTTGGTTAATCATGTGCATCACCTGGGCTTGATCTTGCAGTTCTCCTGCCTCAGCCTTCGAGACTGTTGAGATTATGGGCTTGTGCCACAGCACTGTGCTTTGCTGCTTTCATTTTAAATTGGTCACCAAATTGGACTGCGGCTGTCAGGCTGGGTCCTGACCCAATCTCACAACTTTCCTAGAGAAGAGGAGATTCAGGCAGCTATGTGTAGGGGCCAACAGAAGCAATTCTGCAAATCAGGAGAGAAGGACCGAGGCCCAGGAGAAGCCAGCCCAGGCAGCACTGTGACCTCAGGCCTCCCGCATTCAGGACCCTGGGAAAATGGGTTTCTGGTGTTCGGTATCCTAGTCTGTGCTATCTTCTTGTGACAACCCTAACAAACTTATAAAATCGGTCACGTAAACTTCTTCAGTCATACTTTCAATACTTCCTCTACCACATCCATTCTTCTATCACCCATCAGTCCATCCTGTTGTTAATGCATCTCACAGTACATCCACAGAGCGTTCCGTTTGCCCTAAACATCTTTGCCATCAGATCACGAACCACAGCTGAAAACCTGACTGAGGTGAGAAGATCTCCTTCCAAGGTTGTGCACTTCACAGCCCACAATTTAGCAGCAGCAAGGGACTCTCCACATGGCTCCCTGGGAATCCTCAAGGCATGAAGGACGGCTTCTCCTGGAGGACACATCCAAGAACTCTAAGGAGGATGCATTCCTGGGTGCTGTGACCTGGCCTCAATGCCACACGGTCCCTACTGCACCAGCGCTTTATGCATGCCATGGGTGGTTTCTGCTTCAGTATGGAGGGTGGGGGTGCACAGCACGTGAGCGCCAGGTGCTAGGGACTCTCAGGGTCGTGGGGGACAGCAGCATCCTGGATGCTCACTCGGGAGGACAGACATCGCATCCTGTGCTCCAGAGGACCGACATTGCTGCAGCCCAGAGTAGCTTTTCCTCTGCTCCAGCTGCTCCCAAGGGTCTGCATTTGTGGAAGTTGTCTGGGGTCTCTGAATGTCACAGATGGGCTGGGACACAAGGAAAATGTCTTCTGTCCTCTCTGTCCTAACCTGACCCCGCTCCAGCTCTCCTTTTCCTCCTGTTCCCCTTTGAGCAGTTGATGTTTGAAGGCCTAGGTGGGAATGCAGCCCACAAGAGCAGATAGAGGCTTCCGTCATCTGTGCCGGAGCAGCCTGGAGTATCGCCTGATGGGGGCACTATGGTTGTGCTCTGAGCTCTGAGACCAAGGCCCTCAGCGTTCTCTGGGCAGAAGGCACAGGACCTGAAGGGCCGCTGTCTGCCCACTGTCCCGTGGGGACTGACACACACACACACACACACACACACACACACACCGAGAGCAGAGGGTGAACGGCTGCTGGTTGGGGCTCAAGTTGTGGGTTGTGTTTGGGCTATGTGGCAGCTCACCTTGGGAGTAGCTCTTTCCTGTTGGGAGAGGTGAAGAATTTGCATTCTGCACTCCCCTCCTCATTTCCATTTCCAGTGTTGCTTGCTGAAGCTTCTGTCAACTGTTAGTTCACCATAATAGAATGAGAGGTCTTTTTATGAGGATTTGTTTGACATGCATGTTGCAGAATATTGTGTCTGCCTGCTGAGACCCTGGTGATTGTCTTGGGATGACTAGGGAGTCCCTGCAGGACACTCGCCTACCTAGCACTAGGGAGACAGGAGAGGCAGGGTGGGGCTTGTGTTGAGTGAGGGTTGGGTGACATTTTCTGGAGTTTGGAGATAATTTCTGCACATTTTCATCTGACAGAACCCTGTGATGTTGTAGGGAAGTGGCCGTCCTGAGGCAGAGTCCTGCTGTCTCTTGTGCTGGGAGTTTTGAAAACTCTAGCTTTCCAGGTTTTGGTGAAAGAGGGTGGGATAAACGGGTGGAGGCCCCATCATCTCGGGGTTGAGGAGAGGGCTATGAGGCTTGTGGCCTGGAACTCACTTCCCTGTGGCGGGTTAGAAGGTTTCCTTATGTCACTCCTACTTGATCTTGTTGGCCAGGGAGTGGTGCTCACTTTCTGAGCCCCTCCTGTCTGTGTTTTTGTAGGGAGTGTGTGGATCAGTGGGTTTGGGCTTCCCAATCTCCAGGGCTGAGGAGCAGATGAGGGAGTTGCTAAAGCTGCTGTTGTCATTTCTAGTTTGGGCTCTGAATTCAGTCCTTACTGGAATTCCTACTATAGTAGCAGTTTCCCATCACCTTAAGAAGATAACAGAGCTGGGTGTGATGGAGCTCGCCTGTAATCCCAGCACTTGGGAGGCTGACACAGGAGGATGGCCTGGAGTTTAAGGCCAGCCTGGGCTACATACCCTGTTTCAAAAAACAAACAACAAAGAAAGAAAGCTAACTGGCCAATCCAATTGTGAAGGAACTTTTGACTCCGAGTTGTGGTGTTTCCGGTCCAAGGCTGGCCTTGTTGCTGTGTCTGTGCTGAAGCAGCTCGATGTGGCCGGAGTGAGCGATGGAGCAGAACTGCCCTTCTCACAACCAGGACGTGAGAGGAGAGAGCACTGAGGTCCCTCACTCCAGGTCCAGGCCCCCCTCAGTGAGCCCAGGAGATGTGGCAAGACCCCACCTCTGCAGGGCTCCATCCCATCCCGCCCCCAGCACCACCTGGTCTGTGCCTTTAACAGTCGGGGATCTGGGGGCATCGCAGATTGGAGCTGGAGCACCCAGATCTCTAGTGTTAGGGGATGGAGGTCCTCTCATGCAGGACTCAAATTTTGTGTTTTTGGTGACAGTTGCTACGTGAGGGGTCCTGTTGCTTCCGGTTTGAAGGGGCCTGGTGGTTCCTTGCTGGCTTTTGTTCACTTTATTTTGGGTGAAAATCATGAGCACCATTGTTAAGTCTCCCAAACTCTGTATTCCTGTGTGCTGGACTGGAGAATTCCTCGCCATGCCTTCCACTGTCTGTAGTCTTTAAAAAATAGATTATTCCAATTTAAATGTTTTGAAAGGCAATTTTTCCCCACAAGACCTACAAGTCAGTTGTATGTTTTGACGCTATCATGCAAAAGAGAGTATAATATGTTTACATCAGTAAAAGATGCATTATACACTTCCAGTACTGCATGAGTATATTCATATTTCTATGTATTTCATACTACAGCCCTTTAGGCCAATGCTTTAATTGAAGGCTTACTAATATTTTGGACAAATAGGAGTGTTCAGGTTCCAAGAATTTTGAGTGACTTTGGCAATGTAGCCATGTCATTGTGTAAAATAATAATTTTATGAAGCACAATAAAGAGGAACATCTACAGGAAAGCATTTCCAATATCTACAAATCATACATTTAATACTAATCAATAACAATATCCAATTTTACAAATTAAAATGAAGAAGCATGTGCATAAGCCAGAAATGTGATTAAGTAAATAGCCTGGTATATGAAGACATGCTAATACATTTCTTTCTGACTATGCCTTGAACTACAGATTGGTCTTAATTTTATATAATATACTGGTATAAATCTTATTCTAAGATTTTTAGCATCTTCTAATATCCTGAGTATGTAGAATGTCCTTTTTAGTATTATATTCGTATAAGCTAGTCTATTTAATGCCATTAAATTCATATATACATGTACCTTCTATTTTTCTGTTACTTTTCCTATATTTTCTATCTATCTGTCTGTCTATCTATGTATCTATATTTTAGGTTACTCACTGAAGTGAAAACACAAGAGAAATTTTTTTGTTGTTAAATTTTTTTATTGGTACATTGTAGGTATACAACACAACTACATTTCTCATTGGGAATTGTACCTCTACATAATGTATCTTGGTTCTTATTTTTTCCCCATTCCTAGTCCTCCCTTCACCCCCTCCACCCTTCCCTGTTTACAAAGACTTTATTTCCATTTTTTCCATTTCTCAGCATTTTTCCTTTCCCTTCTTTCCTTCTCCCTGCCCCTCCCACTACTCCTACCCCTTTGGACCTTTTCTTCCCATTTTGCATTATCGATTATTCATTCTAATGATTGGTACATTTTAGGTATACAATATAATGACATTCATCATTGGAAATTTGCACCTTTACATAATCTCTCTTGGTTCTTGTTTTTCACCATTGCCCAGCCCTCCCTTCAACCCCTCCATTCCTCCCTATTTACAAAGATTTTGTTCCTATTTTTCCATTTTCTCATATTAATCCCATTCCTTTCTATCCTTTCCCCTAGCCCTCCCACTTCCTTCCCCTTTGCCCCTTTTCTTCCTATTTCACATTACCTATTATACATTTAGTCCTTATTTACACTTTCAGTTTCTCACGCCAGAGAAACTATTCGGTATTTATACATGTGTGTCCTATTTAACAGAAATTTATTTTTAAATGAGTAAACATGAAAGTACAAAACTAAACAGGATCATTTTATCCAGTCAGTATTTATTTATATTTATTCTATTTTATGTTTCCTGTGAATCTTTATTCTTGGTGTTATCTACAGTCAGCCTTGGGAATCCATGGGGTGTTTGCCTCTGCAGTTCTCCAAGGACAATGAAATCCATAGATGTCCACGACTGTTGTAGAAAATAACACTGTATTTGGATATAACTTGCACACATACTGCCATACACTGTATCATTTCTAGATTGTTTATACATA